AGGGTGTATACTCAAAATCCAACTAAATTGCTAGAAAATAGATTAAAATGAATTAAAAGTGAAATCCCGAAATTGGGCAAAAATGACCAAATCTACCCCTAAAAAATGTGAAAATGACAAATAGGTCCCCAAAAAGGGGCATCTTACCTTCCACATGGTTCAAGGCCTTGCTTCGGGCTATCCGGTGGCGTGTCGAGCGATCTATCGTCATGAAAATTAGATTGTCTCGAGAGGAACGTTTTGATATATATTTTGCATGGTGTCACAAAGTATTACTCGTGTTCTTCAAAGTTTGTACTTTCAGCCAAACCTACAAACTTGAATTTATTGAACGATCTTAGCTCGAATCGCCACTTCTTTGGTCTTCCTTTTTATGGTCAGTAGATATGGAAGTCATTGTGGTCGTTTTGCAAAAAAAAAAACACGCAATTTGGACTCTGAATGACCATTTTATGATTTTTGAAAGTCATCGGAAAATGGTTTTCTGGAGACCCAAAACTTGTGCCTCGATGTGAGCTTCGAACAAATGCCTTCCCAATCCTCATCTGGTGCGTATCTTAGCTCAAATTGAAGCCCTTCGAGTCACGGTCGTAATGGTTCTGTTTTTAGGTTCATCTATCTTCGGGCTTCCAGATATGTCCACGAGAGTGAAGGGAGGTCACGCACACAAAAATGTGCAAAATGTGTTTTCCAAGCAACCACTCTAAGATTTATCTTGGCTCGATGCGTGCCATATGTCAAAATCTTCCTCTCAACGAGGGGAACAAGAACAACATACTAAAATTTGAGTTCAAATCACCTTGGGGCCGATGAGATACAAACTTTGCAAGAATGTCCCATTTTTTTAAAATGCAGTAGTTCCTTACTATTTTTGGTAACTGGTTTGGCTTCCCGCACATGAATAGTAAACGACCTACCCTTTTTTGGAAAGTAGGACCTAGAAAGATCTATTTGAGCTGAAATTTGATATTTAAGGGTTTTTGGGCCTTCTGAATCTGTTTGCGGTGGTCTGCTGCCATCAAAAATCACTATGATATGGCTCTAGTTATGGGGTACCTCGTGCATGTTAGAGAGTTGTACTCCCAACTGAATCTTCCACATGTTTCCTCGTACCTTTGCCAGATCGGGACGAAACTTGGAGGAAGCTCTTGGGACATCAAATTCTGTTATTCACACACCTTCTGGGGACAAGATGACACCATTTAAAATGCTCTTCAAAATTAGGCTTATTTTTGTGCGAGCTTCTGTAGGCCATAGGCATTTTTGGTATCTACGAGCCTGGGTTGCAACCGCCTCCTCTTTTATATGCATGGGGAAATAAGTGCGTCAAAAATACCCTACATCACTCAACTGCAACAGATATGGCCATTTAGCCTCGAGAGCTATTCTGATGCTAATTGAGCAAGGTTTGAATCAGACAAAAGATCTACTACGAGCTACTGCACCTTTGTTGGAAGAAATTTGGTCACCTAGAAAAGTAAGAAAAGAGGGTGGTAGCAAGGTCTAATGCAAAGGCTGAGTATAGAGCAAGTTCTCACACTACAAGTGAACTAATGTGGTTGAAAACATTGTTACGGGAAAAAGGACTCTCAATATTGAGCAGATGTTGATGTTCTTTGACAATCAAGTAGCCATACATATTGTTAGCAATCCAATCTTTTTACGATGGAATAAAATATATCAAGGTAGATTGCCATTTTATTTGGGAGAAACTGGCAAGTAAGCAAATAACAACTCCATATGAGAAGTCAAAAGACCAATTGGCTGATATATTCACCAAGGCTCTTAGTCAAACCTAGATTCAGCAAATTTGTTCTACGCTGCACATGGGTAATATCTATGCTCAAGCCTGAGGGAGAGTGTTAAAGATTAAATTTTTTTGTGGTTGAGTGCTCACTGATAGTGCAGCGTATCCTTGCCCTTTTTACAAACTTTAGGACATTAGGTCCCTTAAATTAGTTACAAGGGCATTTTTATTTGTATCAGCATCATCTATTATAAACAAACATTAAGAGATGCGTGGAGGATTATTCAATCACAAGGGTACTAGATCTCCTCCACGTCACCTCTCTCTCTCTCTCTCTCTCTCATGTCTCTCTCTCTCTTGTTTCTCCTCTTTCTCTCATCTCACTTCTTCCTTTCTTCTTCTCTTTCTTCTACTTCTTGTATTTTTTGTTTATTAATATTAATAATAAAAGTTTAAAGTACAAAACTGCCCCTTAAGTAAGGGAACGACAATTAAGTCCTCAAGGAGTTAAATACAAGGAGAAACAAATCTAAACTTAATTGTTCTCACAAATAAGTTATCAAGGACTTAAATAGAAGGAGAATAAATATAAATTTAATTACTCTCAATAAACTTACAAAGCCAATGCAACATCTACTCCCTTATTTTTATAAAAAGCTCTATCAATGCCTAAATAACAACCAAATTCCGACACACATGAGACAACTATTGAGGAAAGCCCTATACCTCCATTCAATCATGACTTGCTCCCCTCATTTCTCAGAACAAAACCACTTTCCTCCAATGAGCCAATCTCCACTACTACTTCCAATCTATGTCACAAATAGATAAAGACTCTAAAATCATCTCTACCAATCAAATAGATCCACTACTTAATATATTAGGAATATTCTACTGAAAAGAAAAATTGATCATATCAAGCACATATCGTGTTGTTCCTCAATGACCTCCACATATTCATTAGGCCTTAATGGCCTAATATTCCTCTTCTCTAACTACTTCATGTGCCCCTTGTTGGAGACAACACAAGCAACACCCCCTTCATAACACAATATAGTTCTCCCACTCCAACCAGCACATCATATTCCTTCTCCTCAACACCCATAACATACCGTAGGACCCCACCGTCCATACCCATCCTAGGATCATCCACTCTTTTATCCTCTTCCACACCTCCCTAGAATCGTCATCCTCCTAACCTCATTTCATTTCAACATATAAGGGATCAAAACAATCTCCAATCTTCTTCGAATATTACACTATTTCCTTTCCACTCTCTCCAAATGTTACCATTTTGGAAAATTTAATAAGCATGAAGCTTGGCTTGGCTTGAATTGTTTACTTAATCAAGCAAGCTGAAGTTGGATGGTTCAAGCTCAAGTCAAGCTCAAGCCAACCTCAAGCGAAGCCAAGTTGAAGGTGGGAGGTTCATGCTCGAGCCAAGCTCAAGCATGAAGCTTGGCTTGGCTTGAATTGTTTACTTAATCAAGCAAGCTGAAGTTGGGTGGTTCTCGAGTCAAGCGCAAGCCAACCTCAAGCCAAGCCAAGTCGAAGTTGGGAGGTTCATGCTCGAGTCAAGCTCAAGCCAACCTAAAACCCATCCTCAACCCATGCAAACCAAGCTTGAATATGCCCAAGCAAGGCTTCACTCAGCTTCTTAACAACCTAGTAATTAGGGAACCAAATGTACCTTTCAGAACAAAACAAGAATATAAAGAAGTCAAGAAAATTGTGCTTGATACTGATGCTGATGAGGACTGAGTTCTCTTGGACTCTGCAACTAAAGAAGCTTCGGTGCTTCCTCTGCTGCGGGTGCCTTTGGTATGTAAAGAGAGCTCTCCGGCCATTTCCATAAATCACTCCTATTATTTTAGTGGCATATGGTCTTCGTAGATCGCCCTCAGGGTTGATCTGCAATGTGTGGTCCGAACCTAAGTGCACGGATCTCTCTCCTCGTGGGAGCCGCTTCACTGCCACAGAAGCCCCGGACCTAAGCCCATGAAATACTCGGAACAAGGATTGACCAATCCTGGATCGATAACTAAATGCAGATTGAATGGGAAAACTTTTCTGTTGATTCACTGAGGAATTACTGCAAAAAGTACATAAAGAAACACGATTTCGAAAAACTAGGATGACGACCCTTCCAGTGAACCATGGCCCTGAATCATGCCATTTAGGAGCTGACTCTTGTGCAAGCAGGAAATTTTTCTAGCAATAAGTTTGTGTAGCACGCCATGAACTTGATGTCATCGTCATTACTAATCTATTAATTTTTCGTAATTACTTTAATCCTCATATCACAAAAGCAGTTGAATAGACAAAGGGCAAAGGTTTCTACGCCTCCATATCCCTCAAAGATTTTCTGCATACTCCTGAGCAATGTCTCTAACCACTTACTAGGCATGAGTCACCGCTTGGTATCAAGCTGAGTCGACTTGGTATGATCCTACAAGGTTTTATAAGATTCCATGTGGCTAAAAAATTAACATAAAAGATCCATACTTGGCCAAGACAACCCAAGCCAAATCGACTTCGGCAAGTTCATAGTCAACTCAGACTATTTTTAAGCAGTTCTCTAGAGTCTATACTAGCAGCGAGAAGAAAAATGGGCCAAAACCTTAACAAACTCATAATATCAACATCAAAGGAAAATGAAACTCCAATGCAAATAAAAAAACCAATATAATGTTCAACGAAGTCCATTACAAGTTAACCACATTCAACCTCGACCCAAACCACTTAAGAGATCTTGGGGGAGAGATTGACATTAAATATTGTATTATGAAGCACTTGCGAAAACTTATTCTCAATTTCACACTATCAGTGTTGGACTCACATTCATGAAATTTTGGGGATGACAAAAATTCTTTAAACCAAATCAAACAAAAAGACCTATAGTTGCATGTAGAAATATTGATATGCGTAAGAAAAAAGACACTACTCAATAAAATAAAAAAGGCTGCTGCTTGAGGGAAAAATACATGAAAAAATTACTTATTAAAGAAACATGAGTAGAAGAGGAGAGTTCACCAAAGAATTATAAAGCCAAAGATCCCTCAACTCCCAGGATGAGAAATTATCTACTGAAAAATCAAAATTTACATGTAAATTTGAATCCAATGTTTTTAATTGATTCTTTGTGGACTATTACAGACCAAAATGTTTCTAAAACAAAAAAAGAAACAAGTTGAAAATCATTGGTAAGTTAAAGGACTATTTTCATAAATTCTATGCCAATGTACACTCATACCTCCGGAGTCCGAACCTCCTGGGCATAAGTTGGGGACACAGTTGTGACAATGTTTGAAAACACAATTCCGCCCTGAAATATATGAATTTGTTCAGTTTCTACAACTGTAAACATGTATTTGAGGTCTAGAAGAAAAATAACACATGAATTTTAACAACTCGTACCTTAACAGAGTTCACCAAATGCTGAGACAAATTGTCCTGCATTCTATCTGGTCTATTGAGTTGATGAACATCAAGACCACAGGATGTTAACTCAGACGTAGGTGTTGTCCCCTGATATTCAAAGTTGTGGCATGTAAAAGCAATTCGAGCTGAATTAAGTCCTTTGGGTGTATAGATATCCCAATAAAGGGGCGCCTGTAAGCAAGAACTATCAGGCATTAAAAAAAAAAAGCATCAAACAAGAAGGTTCATCCCTGCAACTGCTAGAAGACCCAGGTTTCATGCAAAAAATCATTTGAAAGAAGGGACAAAAGTAGCACAACTTGAATAAATTAGGAACGCTTACAACAAAAGCTGTCTGCCAGTCATGGCAGTGAATGATATCTGGTTTCTTGCCAGCTTGGAGAAGGAATTCAAGTGCTGCGCGACTGAAGTATGAAAAGCGTTTGAAGTCATCATGCTCCCCATAAAATTGTCCTCGCCAGAAGAACTTAGCAGGATGGAGGGGTTCAATAAAGTAGACGGGGAGACCTTAAAATCACCAGAATCTAACTGTAGTCAGGTACACCAGAAGTCATCAATTTGGTTGCAATTCAGATACACATCAAACAGCTTTAGATTTCAAAACCTTCAATAATCCCACTCCAAACTTTATTCTTGAATAGTTGTCCATCAAAATATGATTGCACCACCACATCTAAAGCCTACAAATGAAGAAAGAAACACAGAGAGAGAGAGAGAGAGAGAGAGAGAGAGAGAGATTGATTATGCTTGCACTGGTTCACCCATTACTTCAAAAGAAAAACAGAATATGTTCTCAATGGATACAAAGAACTGTTTCCAGGATGTCAATTTCAACAAATGTACCTTCAAACTTTGAATCCGATCATATTGCATGCAGTCATATTTTGGAAGAATAACCTCCACAAGGTGTTGTTTCCTCTGTAATGCTTTACCAAGGCCAGATACCACATCCCCCAGACCTCCAACCTTGAGAGTAGTCCAATATTATAATTAGAAAATCAAGCTTAGCCAACTAATGACAGGATAAGAAAAACTTCTGAAACACCACATGAAATTGATGCCCAAGGGATATCTTATGCATGGCAGCATTTCCTCAAAGGACTACAACTAGATTGTAATATAAATACACCAGACATTAATTATAGTAGCTACCATGAGATTCATTCCCCCCCATGCCACAATAGTGAACTGTAACAGCATTGATCACAAACCACAGTTCTTCTTAAATAAGAAAATGAACACATCACCAGATAACTGCAATTCCAGGTGAAGGTAAATCCAAGATAGAAACATTTCTGTTTCCAAGTAATGCAATTCTTAAAACATCTTATTCCAAATTGAATGATTGACATTTCAGTAAGGAAAGAGTTAAGAAACGTGGGCACCACATCCCTAAAGAGTTGTCTCCTGTACAATGTAAATAAGAACAGCAAAAATTTCCAGAATTTTTTCTATAGGTTACATGTGTGTGGTATCTTCTGTTATATTGCAGAACAACATATTACCAATGATAGATATAACCACCTCTGCAGTAGATTAAAACGTACATACTCAACTGGAACCCAAAATGATAGATATCAGTAGAATATTATTTCTGGTGCTAGGAACAAGATGACTTCCCGATGATTGTACAATAAATGGTTGAGAAATTTTGTTTGTTCTTCCATTAGGATAGTCAGCTTGCAATGGAACACCCAAACCAATAGAAAGTAATAATTAGATTATCCTCCCAACAGGGGATGCTGTTAAACAAGTGGGTTTAGTTCATCAACCCCGATCCACAGTGCCTCTTATACGTGACATTTGTATGAAGAACTGTAAATATGTGCCATTTGTATGTAGAGTATATCTACTGATAAGTTATAGCGCTGTACCACATGGGATCAAGGTTGGGTTGGACATTACTCCATAAGCATCCCCTCATTTTATAAAATTTGCTTTGCTCAGCAGAAAACCAAAACATCAAATGCTGTAATATGTTATTAACATTGTGAGAGCAGTGTTGATGGTAGTGCACATCAATATAAGCTCTCCAACATAATACATATCTAACAGAATTTCATCAAAAAAAAAAAAAAAAATGCATGTCTAACAAAATTGTTGGAAAAAGGGAAAAATGCAGACACAAAACAGAATAGAGGCCAGATAGATGGAACTAATAACTCAAAAGATGTTTCTAACAAAATGGGGCTCCAACTATAGCTGGGTTTGAAAAATAAGGATGCCCATTGTTGCAACCCCCCTATCTATATCAAAAAACAGAAACTAATTGTTAACTACAATCTTGCAGAAAGGGCAATCTTACCTTTGCCACTGGTGCCATCTCTGCTGCAATATGAATAACATATAAACCCTGACTGCAATTATAGAAAAAAGAATTATTGTCACCCAGTAGTCCAATTTAGTAGCAGGTTGACAATCTTAGAAAAGTAAGAATAGCATCATACCTTGTACGAGAAGATGTAAGTTTAAGAAATGAGGCCACAGCTTCACTTTCATTCTTGTCCTTACAAGTCAAGAAGGTTTCACGGATGCGAGCATCTCTCTTCCATGCCATAACTCTCAACAGTTTGGCATCATTAGGAGAAATCTTTTTCTCAAGCAACCAGCCATCAATAACCAGCAATAGACGACTCCAAAATTCCCAAGGCATATCAACAACAGGAGCCTCCACTTGCCTTTCCTTGTTTTCATCTTTCAATCTACGAAGAGTAACTTGAAATTCGTTAATAGAGTCTTGATATAGCTGAACTTGGGATTGTATCTCTTGGTCAGACTGTAAAAGCCGCTGCTCTAGCATTTTTACCTGCTGTTGCAAAAGCTGTTGTTCTGACAAGGAATTAAATGCCTTGGCTTCATCCAAATAAGCTTCCAAATTATCAACTTTCTTCTGGAGCTCTTGATTCTGTTGCACGACATTTAGGGCATGATTTGCTTGCTCTGAAGGTTTTTCCAAGAGTGCTTGCAAATGTTCTACGTTTCCCCTCAAAGTCTTGAATTCCACTTTCATAGATGCAAGCTCTGAAATGCTTTCTTGTGCAATCACTAGCTTGGATTCCAGTTCTGCAAGGGAGTATTCTAAAACAGATCTTTCTTTTACAACTGCAAGTATCTTTTCATCTGTTTTGTCTATTTCAGCAAGCTTGGCGTTGAGCACTTCTATATCATTCTTGAGTAACTTGTTCTCTTCTTTCAATGCAGTCACCTCCTCATTGAGAGATGAAAAGTCACTGCAGTGTGAAGCTAAGCTCTGACGATTCAAAGGGTTGTTCTGGCTTTCAGATGGATCTTGCCCATCTTCCGTAGAGGATGGCCCCCTTTCTGCCATCTCCTTCTTCAACTTCTCAAGTTGATCTTCTAGAAGTTCCACATTTATCTTTTCTTGAGTTGCAACTTTTAGCCGTGCATCCGTTTCCGCCAACCTCATCTCCAACAAATTAATTTCTCCTTGTAAGGCCTCTTTCTCGGAAAGGATCTTATCCAGATCTTCTAAAGCACGAACTCGGGCTTGATTGAGGAGTAAGATATCTAATAAAGGAGTAACAACATGTAATGACTTTTTAACAGAAGAATGGAGACTACTTCGACAGTAAATAGAGTTTACTTATTTATGCATATCCAGTGTTTTGGAAATCGGCTCAGACCAGGTACCCTGCCCTGACCCGAGCCGAGCTACTCGGCGGATTCCCATCGGACTCGATTGAGTACTGTACAAAAAGGTCAAAACATAAAAAAACAACCAAAAAGTGAAAAAAAACATAAAAATCCTTTGTAAATTTGGCGCTGCCACCTCCACATATTCTCATATCCCTTTCAAAACATGTGGGGCGATCTTTACTCTCATGCTTCTCACATCCCTCTCACTCTCCTTTTGAGCTTAGTGTCAGAGGATTGGGGCCAGAGGAATATGGCTTTTCTCAGTGGAAGAGGAAGACAGGAAGATGCAAGATTTCTCTGCCTACGAAGAAGAAAGAGGAAGACAAGACGATGCAAAGAGGAAGAGAAAGAGGTGACAGCCTTTGCCGCTGGTTGTGAGGAAGAGAGAGATTGCCTCTCCCACTGTTATGTGAGGAAGAGAGAGAGAGACCGCTGCTGTTATGTGAGGAAGAGAGAGAGAGATTGCCTCTGCCACTGTTTTGAGGAAACGAGAATGCCTCTGCCACTATTTTGTTTTTTCCATGTGAGGTTCTTGATCAAATTAATGGTGATAGCACAAGCTCAGTGTTTTTGCTTACAATCAAGGGCACCAAAATTTGAGAATCCCTATCCCTCTCTAGAATCCAGAGGATAATATCTCTAGCTCCTGATTCTTGCCAGAATTTGAGACTCCAGTTGTAACGAACGCCAAAAAACGGAACATTGGTAGCAAACCAGTTGTAAAGATCGCTGGAAAATGGAGGATGGGTAGAAAATTGGCAGTCCTAAAGAAAATGGGAGTGGGAGTTTGGAAGTCAGAAAAGAAGAAAAATCCACGATTTCTACTTTTTCTTATTTTTCAACATTTGTTTTAATTTTTCTTAGAGGGTTTTTGGTGAGGGGAAAGCTGGGCGCCATCTCACCTCGCCACTAGGGCAAGTCCGAGTTACTCGGCCGAGTCACAATACACTGGGCATATATGTGAGTGGATCTCTCTCTGCACATTGATCACAAGCTTAGAAGACAAAAAGTTACATATGTTAATGCACGCATGCACATGTAAACAGAAAAACCTAGAAATGAATTAGAACATCATATGTCAGTAAATGCATACTCTGTTCAGCATTCCTTATCATTTCTATTAAGTCCTCCAACTGGAGATTTGAAAGCTGTTGTCCACTACCATCATCTTCCATCTGTTAATTGACGTCACAAAAAATTGTCATCTCTCTCTCTCTGTCTCTCTCTGCCACCCCCCCCGCCAAAAAAAAAAAAAACTAATATATATATATATATATATATATATATATATATATGTGTGTGTGTGTGAGTGTGCATTTGTGTGTCTGCATGTGTGTCCAGCACACCAACACTGATCACTGTCACTGCCACCACTATTAGCTGTAACTGCAAGAATCAGAGTGGGGGTGTTGATGGTAATGGTGGTAGCAATGATGCTATGATGGCAATGGGGAGGAATTTTTTTCTCTCTCTCCCTCCCCCTCTCTTTCTTTTTCTTTTTTTTTGTTTTATCAGTGTTTTTTTTTTGGGTAGTTAAGCGGGGATGGGGTCCCCTGCACGCCGAAGAGATGTAAGAGACTGAAAGATATGATGGACGGAGAGAGACAAAGAGAGAATGTGACAAATTGACTACAAGACCTACAAAAAGTTATAAAACAGAAGATAGACATCATAGAAGAATAATACCAAATAGTTTCGCACATCTTTTGTAAGAGTTAAATCCTGAGTATCCACTTTCTCTACGCCTTGCATGCTCGATAGTGAATCAGGCTTAGCACTAGATATAACCGGGGAACTAGATATGCCACCTTTTGGAGCATTCAGAGCATTGTCATCACTAGGCGATGATGATTTCATATTTAGACTGGGCTGCTTCATAGAAATTTTTTTCAATCGTTTCCTTCGTTGTGAGCTGCACAGTGCTAACTACCCATTCAGTAGATGATAAGAAATATCAAATCATGCTTACTAAAACCTAGAGAAAAGAATTACACAAAGAACTCCTTTTGACATATGGTCATAAACATTGAACCCAACATATAAAGTGAAAAGTGACTTGCCACATTTCAATGGCCGTTATGCATACATAATAGATCCATTTTTATGAAGGAATTATTCCAATGTATAATCACAATACAAGTGGCAGTTAGTATGACATTGTTTAATAACCAATCATTTTTCAGTAGGCTATAGAGCTATGCAAGCACTAGCAAAAAAGGGCTGACATCATCGATTAATATTTGAAAGGTAAAATCAAAGAAACAGAAATGCCCACCACTGCAACATAAAATCTCATAATGACAACCATCTTAATTGCAACCAAATTGCTTCCTTCCCAATATACCTAAATCAGCCATCAGGATACCTTTTTCTTTGTCCGTAATTAGTCTAGTTAAAGCAAGTAAAATGAGCAACATCAAGTATCAACACAGGAGATGTCAAGCTAGCATCTTAAAGCCTATGAGTCTGTTATACTAAAATAGTACAAAAATATCAACTTGCCTAATTGAGAGAGAAGAACTATTAAAATGCAATGAAGGATAGTTCTGCAATGTATTTATTTTATTTTTAGTAGTATATATAGTCATTTGCTATAATGGATAAGGGAAAATCTATCCTTACTCAAGATGTAAAATACTTATATGTCAGCATGCAAGAATTAGGGTGTTGGCCAGGTGCATGATTTCATGGTAGAATATTGTGTGCCTCTATTTTTTTTTCTTTTCTGTCTTTCGTAGTATTAGAACAAGGTTTGAATATGTTCTTAGCGTGATCAACTCAAATCAAGGCAACCCATATTCCTTCTTGAAGATTCATTATCTCTTTCTCTTTGAAACCCTAATCTTTCTTCTTCATCTTTATCCTCTTTCATCATCCTCATTCCCATACCCCCTTTCTAAACCCCAATCTCTCTCATATTTCCTCCACCTTGGGGGCACCTACTATTCACGCTTCTAGCTATTGTCCATTCTATTGTTTATCCTACTCATGCAACTGTTCTTGCTTTCAAAGCCTCATATATCAGCTACAATACTCTTGATTATCTCTTCATCCAATATAAAACCCTGGATCTCGTTTAAAATCTAGAATTCTGTTATTCATAACCTAGTTCTTTCTCTTCAAAAAACCAAAAAAGAAAATATCCAAACTGTTGTTCTCCTTCACGATTCTCGAATCTAGTCCAAAACCCTAACTGCTTGTCTCTCTCTTGTGCATCAAAACTTAACTGCTGATGTCTTTCCCTTCTTCTTCCTTTAGGTCTCTCGCTCTCTAACTCTTTCTTAATCAATTAACAATGGCCTTGTCGTCTTGTTCTGCTTTTATTGGTCTCTCTAATCCTCAATACATACCGATTAAACTCAATGCTTCAAACTATTTTATTTGGAAAGGTTCAGTTTAAATTATTTAAGAGGACAGTGGTTATTTGGGAACATTGATGGTTCATCAAAAACGCTAGTTAAGTTTCTTAGAAAAGAGAATTTGGTGAAGATGGAACAACCAAGAAAGTTCTTCAATCCAACCTCACTTATGACGATTGGGTATCTAAGGACCAGAACCTCGCTGTTTACATTTGTTACACTCTTTCAAAGGAACTTGCTCCATGTTAAAACCACTTGTCTAAGTTTAGGACCTAAGTGTCCTAATCATATTTGTATGGACAGTTTTGTCCATATTATATTTTTAAATAAAATATAAGGCTGACAGGTGCTGAGGGGTGTTGAACCTCACATTACTTTCTCCTTTCACGTCTCTCTCTTCCATCTTCTTCTTATTCTTCTTTTCTCTCTAAATTCTTCGATATAGTACCAGAGTGGGATTTAAACTGATGTTTCGTCTTCCCCATTTCCTCTTAAATCCTTTATCTTTTCATCTTCCTCTTTCCTTTCATCTTTCCCCTTTCCTTTCATCTTCTCTCTCTTTTTTTTTTCTTTAACCCTTTAAAAAAAAAATGGAGAGAAATCATGATCTTCCCCTTTCTTAATTTTTATTGAATCATAAACTCGAAAACTGTTCAATGCTGTTGTGTGTGTGATTTCTCTCCCCGAGATCAAGATCTAAGAAATTGTGACCTAGTTTCAAGTTGCTGCCAGTCTATGCTGCTGTGTGTGTGTTTCTCTTTCGAGATCAAGGTTCACAGAGAGATTGTGACCTAGTTTCAATGTTGGCAGCATGGTGCTGCTCAGATGTGTTCAACGTGATGTTGCCCTAATTTGTTCAAGTGTGTGAATGTGACTGCATCTGAATGATAAGTATCTCTCTCCTTCAAGTCTTTCTTTAATGTTGTACTAGGCCTGTGTAAGAGGCTGAAAATGGCCAATCGTAGTTGTCCTTATTGTCTTTTTATCTTTTTATGCTCATGGATAAGGAAATTAAACCTGGAATTCTAAGTCCTCCTGTAACCGTGAGATACAAATCACCTCGGTGAAATTACATGTGTCCAATATTGTTGTATGGGCACAATCTGTCAAAGTATCCCTTGGTGCAAGGTGGAAGCTAAAATATTTGACTGAGGACAGACCTAGTAATTCTGATAGTAGATATGAAAAGCAGACAAGGGATAAGTACATAATCATTACGTAGTTGCGTAGTAGTATGGAACCCAAACCAGTCCCAATGTGATGTTTCTTGATATAGCTAAGGAAATTTCGGACAATTTGAAAGAAACACATTCATAATTCATCAGATAAAAATATCACCTGGTATATGAGTTGTTTGAGAAAATGTTTCAATTGCAATGGGATAATCAGATTGTAAGTATTATAGTACCCTCAGGGTATGTGAGAAGAGTTGAATCTATATCAGCCTATATCTAGTGATGTGGAATTACGGAAGAGCCAGCCTGAAGAATATAGGGTTGTCAAATTTTTTCTGGCCTTAATCTTGAGTACCATTCTATACCTGGGCAGATCCTGGCATGAAGTGAGCTCCCATCTCTCACTAATGGTTACTCGCGAATTCAACGGCTCATTATATTTGCTTCCACCCTCCTTCTAACTCAAGTACTATTAATGGAACAACATTAAATACATTTCTAGGGAGCGGTGATGGAGGCAGAGGTCAGGGACATTGGAGGCAGAGGTCAGGGACATGGCCGTGACTCACGAAGAGGCCGAGATAGAGGTAATGGTAGTTGTCTATGTTGATGATATTGTCGTTACTGGCAATGATCATGAAATACTCAATCATTTGGAGATATCTAAAACAATGTGTTCAGGCAACAAATTTGGGTCAACTAAGGTATTTTCTAGGAATTGAAGTAACCAAATCAAAGTATGGCACTAGTTTATCTTAAAGGAAATATGTGACTGATTTGCTAGGAAAAACTGGACTATTGGATGTCGCAGGAAAATTTGAGAAGACAGTAAAATAGCAAGAAACAAAGCCAAACACAAGCACAATTCAAAGAAACCTAGGGTTTTCTACTCCGCACCCAAACTAGGGTTGCAAAAGCCTGAGCTTTTCTTTCTTCTCAATTCTGAAAAATCACGTGACTGCCTTCTTCTCCTAGGCCCTCATGCACCTCTTTATAAGATTACTTAATGTTTCAAGTACAAAAAGTGTGCAAACAAATAATACAATGACCTATATCTATCCTAACATAGACTTAAAATTTGTAATGATAGTTTTACCCCTATGAACCGTACGTGTGAATAGTACACATGAAGGAAATAAAGAATATAAAAACTCTAGAATCCCTAGAAAACTAAGAAATTATAGAAATAAACCCTAAAACGAAAACTATAATATACATCATTTGAAGCTAACTAAAAATTAAAAATAAGAATTCAATATCAAAAACCACCTTCTTCAACCTTCTTTTCCTTTGTCAGCTCAAATATTATTCGTGATAAAAAAAAATTCCTCAAGGAACGGATCCTAATATTTATATTAAGGAACCAATACAAATTTATCAAATACGGCTGTCCTTGAATTCCCATTAAAATTATAGTAGAAACCTTTCAAACCCAATTTTCTGGTGTTTAGACGTTTTCTCAACATCTATTTCATTTTATTTGTTTTGAAAATGTTAACGGTAGATATTATAATATTAAGAGTTTCACAAAAGTAAGGGTCGAGGTGACTCGATCTATGCTATTTTGATTCCAATATGCTAATTTCCTTGATTATTCTACCTCATTAATATAAAAAAAGTAGCATAATAAAGGAATTTAACATATTGGAATCAGAGTAGCATAGATGAAACATGGTCAACTCATAAAACATGGGCTTTAAAGATTTCATTAATAATGAAATATTTCATTATTATCTGAAAAGTCGTGGGAGGCAAGGCACACAGGGGATAGG